TTGGAGAAATGTAGCATTGCATCAGTGTCTCAGCAATGAATGCTCTGCAGTGAATGGGTGCCGTCAGAATGAGAGTCCAAACAGCTGATAAAAACATCACAGTAATCCACACGTAATCCACAGCACTCCAGTCCATCAGTTAACATCTGGAGAAGACAAAAGCTGAAACAATCCATCTTTAAGACGTCGAAAATCAATAATAGTCCATAATCCATAATAACGCTTCCTCCAGTGAAAAATCCATCTGCTGTTGTCTCTCACATCAAAATCCAGCCACATATTTGTTTAGATCTGTTTTTGTCTTCTCCAGATGTTAACTGATGGACTGGAGTGCTGTGGATTACTTGTGGATTATTGTGATGTTTTTATCAGCTGTTTGGACTCTCATTCTGACGGCACCCATTCACTGCAGAGCATCCTTTGCTGAGCAAGAAAGAGAAATTCTAATCTAATCAAAGTGGTATTTCTGCAATTTCCACAATGATAGAGTTTTCTCTAGTCTCTTTTTACTCCAAATGCAAGTATTTTTATGGTATTCGGTGCTATAATAACTCAATTTTAAAATAAGTTGGTTGTGGATGATTGTCTTATTCAATAGAGTCGAGCACAGGAGCCGTGTGTGTGTGTGTGTGTGTGTGTGTGTGAGCTCTTCAGCTCTGAGGGCTCTTCTCAGAGTGTGTGTAGAGCATTGAGAAGCGTGTACAAAGAGCCATCTGTTAGCCGGACGCGAGCAGACTGTCTTCACATTTCCGCCGCTGGACCGTCAGTGTTCACGACTCTGCATGAAGCCTTTTATCAGCTGCTGTGAGTGTGTGCGGAGCTGACAGCGTTATAATGAGAGTTACGGGAAGTGACTTCATCATTAAGTGATGTTTCAGCCTGAACTGTTCAGTACTGCAACATGTGTGAGGCCTTCAGTAACAGTTCAGTCTGTCTTCATTTACTCCCCCTCATGTCCATCCAAACCCGTATGACTGTCTTTCTTCAGTGGAAAACAAAAGGGGGTGTTTTTACTGTCGTAATGAGGCTGTTGAGCTCCAAAAATGATGAAAACAGCAGCATGAAAGTAGTTCACATGACTCATGCACTATATTTCGAGTCTCCTGAAGTCATGCGATTGCTATGTTTAAGAAACAGAGTCAAATTTAAGTGCTATTCACTGAAAATGATTCACTTTATCTCAATTAAGAAGATATGGTGTTGGATTTGACATCAATGAAAAAAATAAACAATTTCAAATAATGCTTGAAATAATGGAAATGGAATCATTTTGGAATTTAACATTAGTGCAAACAAGATTTATGAGCTTGACTTAACAGGAATATTTTAGGAAAGAACTATTTAAAATTTTGTTTAGTGGACTTTATAAGACTTGGAATATAGTGGAAGTCATGTAGAATTCATTCATTCATTCATTCATTTAAATATCTGCATTTGTATTTATTTTAATTAATTTAAATTAAAAAAAAAAAAATTAATTAGTAATGAATGTAATTATTTTAAATTATTTTTGTTTTATGTTAAGTTGAATTATTTTAAATGACTTTTATTTGAATTCATTTAAAAAAATTAATTAATTAATTGTAATGAATTTTAGTTCTTTGGAATTATTTTTTATTTATTTCAATTGATGTCAGTTATTTCAAATATTTTTTTATTTTAATTATTTACATTTATTTTAATTAATTAATTCTAATACATTTTTAATTATTATTTTATAAAAAAAAATTTAATTAGTAATGAATGTAATTATTTTAAATTATTTTTGTTTTATGTTAAGTTGAATTATTTTAAATGACTTTTATTTGAATTCATTTAAAAAAATTAATTAATTAATTGTAATGAATTTTAGTTCTTTGGAATTATTTTTTATTTATTTCAATTGATGTCAGTTATTTCAAATATTTTTTTATTTTAATTATTTACATTTATTTTAATTAATTAATTATAATACATTTTTAATTATTTTTTAATTTATTTTAAGTTAAATTATTACAACTTTCTGTTTATTTAAAATTATTTTTTACATTTATTTTAATTAATTAATTTTTACAAATTTGAATTATTTTAAATTATTTTGGATTTATTTTAAGTTTATTTTAATTATTTACATTAATTACTTTAATTTATTTCAATTAATGAATGTTTTTGCTTTATGTCCTCAGTCTGTATTGTGAAGAACATTCTGGAACTTATGCAATAAATCTCTTTTTGTGTTCCTCAGAAAATATAGTGAAAGATTGAAAGGCAACACTTTCATTTTTGGGTGGACTATCCTTTTATAGCGGTGTAGGATTTGACTAAACCTGTTCTTACCTGTCTGATAGGAACGCTGTAACCTGACAGCAGCATTTGTGTGTGTGTGTGTGTGTGTGTGTGTGTGTGTGTGTGTGTTTGTGTT